GCGTGTGTGTATGTGTGCGAGTTTCGATTACGATGAGAATTTTTCGCATGCTCGCCGTGTTGAAATTAATAACAATTTCTCCGATTAGAATATTCAAATTGAATAAACACAAAACATGTTAGAGAATGATTGATAAACATTTTAGAATATCAGGAACGATTAATTTTTCAAGACATTCAGACATAACGCAAATAATTTAAATAGACAAACTTACTATAGATAAAAGGAAGGTATCCCCAAGACATACAAACTAGATGAGACTTAGAGTTTCCAAACCGTGATGCCGGAATCTCAAAAAATTTAAATGCCCAATCTAAAATGATTCGACTTTTTACACTTTAGTCTTTCAAAAATCATATTTTATTTATACCAAGCAGAATGGCAGAATGTCAATATCTAAAAGTTTTATTTCCATGTTTGCTATATATTATTGTATTTTTTTATCTTGCACCGAAAGCAAGACAAGACTAGCGTTTGATCTGACCGACGAGTGCAAGAGTTCCGCAAGACCAAGGCCAAGTATGCATACTCTTACGGTCTTGCAGTGTCTTACAGCGCCCAAGCTGTCAGAGTATATGACGATATCTCCTGCTGGTCTTTCAGCGATTTTCCCTCATATACCATAACCTGGCTGCTTCCTTTATGGTGTAAACCTCTGTTTATAGAACATTACAGCCATCCGATACCCTTAAAGATCGTGGGATGTCTAGTTCCTCCATGAGTTCCTCTAAGAAGATGCCTATACCTGTGCCTCCTGAAGTTACGGAAGCATCTGTGTAGACTGCTATCGCTTGAGTGTTCATTACTCGGTTGCTTTCTCATGTTTTTCTTGTCGGGATGTGATTCCTTATCTTTGTTCCAAAATCATGTTGGGTGGGCATATAGTCCGTTTTCTGGTCTAACAGATGATAAACATGATTTTCCCTCTCATTGGCAATATCCTCGAGTGACCGTAGTTGGTCTGGTTCCACAGATTAGATTCCCTTAATCTTAGGGTAACCTTAGCGGCCAGATCCTTCACGAGCCAGTCGATTGATTGCAAGTCCAGAATTACTTTTATGTTCCTTGCTATAGTTGTACCTAGAGCTGCTACTCGCTGTATTTTTGTGAGGCTTTTTGAACTGAAGTTGAAGGAATGAACATAGTTAATCACATGCTAAGTGAAATGAACTGGTCTCCTCCATTTTAAGAAAGCGATTCCCAAACAACAACAAATTGTTGATAAGACCTTAAATTCCTATTGGTTATCGCATTTTTGCCGATGTTTCTATTTGTTTAATGGCAGTTTGTTTAAATTTTCGGTCAAACGATAAGACGTTTAGATATCATTACCCTATACAAACTGAATAATAATGATAATAAAAGTAGTATCATTATGATATATTTTACTGTTCCGGAGATACTCAATAAATACGAAATTTATCCGCCATGTAAGAGTTCAGCCCTCTATGGAATTAAAAGTACATAATGTATTATATTAAACGTTAATATAATATATGTAACCAACCAAATGTCAGAACCTAACCAAATGTCAGAAGATATAAAATTTAAATTGGGCTATAGCGTGACTACTCATTCACAGTTAACCTACTTTGTAATTTTTTGTATACCCATAGCTACTTTTAAAACGGGCCACACATTATACAATTTATCGTACAACACAAATTTGGTTCAACCGTTTGAACGAAGGATCGGAGGCACTGTTGTCCACGAACTTAAACTACTAGTCTGTCTAATATCTGTCGTACAATAAATCGTTTCCCAGTTGATTTTGTCTGGTTCGCCATGGCTTTGTGTTAGTCAAAAAGCTAGTTAGTCAATAAATAGCTGCAATTGTGGTAGTTTTTTTTAGTCGAAGATGAAAAACCCTCCTAAAAATTGTAATCAAATATTCCAAAGTAGCATCTGCTTTTATTTCTTTAAATTTTTCCAATATATTTTCATAACATGCACTTCTTTAATTTTTGTTTAAGTATTCGTAAATTTTTACATCCCACACACCATGCATGGGAACGATATATTTTGATAAATTCTGACCAAAACTTTTTATTTTCAATTTTTATGAACTGTATTGTACTTATTTGCCACGAGAAATGTTTAGATTTCGTTTCAACAAGAAGTGCTTGCACACAAACTATCAAACCTATCGTATCTACTACTGCGTTGTATTACAGATTTTATGCATGCTGTACTTCCGTACGAAACGACAGAGTCGAGCTGCAAGTTATACTACAATGCCACTAACTATCCAACCATTGATCCAACGGTCGAAACGATTTGGAGCTGTACAACTTGTAGTACGATAAATCGTATAATTTGTGGCCCGTTTAAACTTTGTTTGCGATTTCACTATCGTAGGTAATTTTATAACATAAATTTGGGTATTCTTTCTCATATATGCGGCATACCGAAATAAGACCACCGTATAGAGACACTTCTGTCTTTCTGTTCATTTTATTATAAAAAAGGGTACAATTATACAGGGTGAGTCTTAAATACGTACAAATATTTTCAGGGCTGGTAAATCTCGATAAAAGAAACATATTTTTTCTCTTTGCCGTTTTTCAAATAAATGTAAAATAACCGAGATATTTTACTTTGAAAATTTCCAAAAAAAATTTTTTTCCTAAAATTTTGAGAGCTACTGGATCTTTTTTAGGTTTTCTGTCTTGTAAATTTAATCTACTACCTATGTTGCCGTATTATCAACAAATTATATTTTTAACTAAAAACTAAAAAAAATCCTAAAAATTTTTCAAAAAATTTAAAAAAAATATAGTACCCCTAAAAATATTTGCACTTACTTAAGACTCACCCTGTATAATTGAAAATTTGATATTCGTCTTGTACGACAACTTATATCGACATAAATTACATTTTGCATAATTTCCATGAAACTCACTAGAAATCCATAAAAAATATCTTTCTTCTTTTTAACAAGTTGGCGTCATACTAAAGTATAAAAATCTTTTCTACCAAATTTCTAATTTTATATGTTTTGTATAATAATCCTTTAAGCGAGCGTAATTTATTAAATATTAAAATATTAACAGATAAAACAGCAAGACAGAATGATTAATATTAATATTCTCATGGGCGCCGGAAGAATGAAATTTAGGGGGGGGGGCAAGGTAAAAATGAATAAAAAATTGACATTTTTGGTAATTATTGGGAAAACTGAAAATCGTCCAATTTTCACCAAAATTGGTATACACCCTATTTTGAAGTCGTAGATTACGAATCTGAACTTTTTTCTTGGCGGTCTCTTACCGTTTTTCAGAAAACCGTAAAATATTTTCAATATCCAATTTTTCTTAATTTCTCATATTTTTAACGTTTTCTAGCACATATTTTGTTAGGTATTCAATAATCAATAATGTTTTTGCTATTTTCTGTTACTTTTTTAACCAATTCTATGCATAATAGAGAAAAATTTGCTAAAATAAATTTGTAAACAATCTGAAAATGTTAGGTTACAGCTTTGTTCGGGTTCTTGTTATTACCGATTCTGACTGAACCGTCCAAGAACTCTGCAGCGCATGCGCAAATGAAATAATGTCTTCATATTTCCTTCTGCGCATACGCATCACAGTTCTAGGACGGTTCAGAATCGGTAATAAGAGAAACCCGAAGTAAGTTTATGTGTTTCTGGCATTTAAAGCAACGTTGCCAATGCTAAACCTAAATTTAGCGTGTTTTTTTCGCTCATTCTGGAATTACGAAAGGCGGTCGCCAGAAGAACGGCTCCTTCCCATAACTGCTATTTTACCAACGAGATCTGACTATTTATACCCACGAAGTTGCACGAAAGAGTTTTGATTGCATTGGTTACAACTTCCATGCAGAGGGTGTTAATCTTTTGTTGTTATATTATTAGATTAACTAAAAAAAGATTAACCCCCTCCGCAAAGAAGTTAAAACCAATGCAATCAAAACTCTTCCGCGTAATTTTGTGGATATAGGTGTATATTTAATTATTGTCGATCTCATAATAGGTAATTTATTTAAAATCCCTAATCACCCGAAAAAATAGAAGATATGGCAACGTTGTAAATTTTCAAATTTCTAGATTAGGTCTAGAATATATTTGTCTCTCTTATTACATAGGAGAGAGAAAGAAGGATATATCAAATGTCAAACTTCCATCTGGTCTCAATTTTCTTTGCTATTTTGTTAAGAAAAGTGTTTTTCAGTAAAATGTTGGACACTTTTCTATCCCCAATCAAGTGTGGCTTTTATATAAACTTTAATATAATGAAAATAGAGTGAAATTATTACTTTATAGGGCCGAAATAAAGAAAAATTCAATGTTGAAATAATTTTCCGTTTTTCTGAAAAACGGTAAGAGACCGCCAAGAAAAATAGTAGATATAGATTCGTAATCTACGACCTCAAAATAGTGTGTATAGCAATTTTGGTGAAAATCGGACGATTTCCAATTTTCCCAATAATTACCACATTTTTTATTATTTGACAGGTAACACCTAACAATTTCATAATAATGATTATTTTTTTACAGATGGATGTAAGAAGATAGCTTTTATTTTTATTGTTTCAGTGATCCAGGGGGGGGGGCAAATGCCCCCTCTTGCCCCCCCTGTCCGGCGCCCATGAATATTCTACTTGGACGAGACCATTCTGTGAATACATCACGTAATCATATACCGCCCATGTTAATCTTATGGTGTTATGGCAACTTTCGACTTAAAATATTACGGGGATAAACGGTTGCATTTCTATCACACTTGGATCGCTATATAATTCACGGTTTATTTTTATATTGTTAAGAACTGAATTGCTACTTTTATTTCATTGTGAAAATATCGCAGGTAGTGATTGTTCCCCATCTCTATTAGGATGGTTTGCAAATTATGAAACTTACGGTATTTACATACGAACATTGCAAGTTAATTTTTTGTTTTAACTAAATAGATAATTATTTATTTTGTAGTTGGAATATTGTTATACACTATTTACTAATAAAAACTAAAAGTACTTACTCAAAATGATTATGATTTAAGGATAGTTCCTCTATGGTTGCATTGAGTTCAGCAAATGCGCGATACTGCAGATCTTGCATGCTGGATTTATTTAATTTCAGGTGAATCCGGTCTGATGGTGAGAAGAAACCCCTGAATATATCCAGAACCTGGAAAAGGTACATATTTTTAGAAACAGAAATCATAAGGAATTATTCATAGCTTTATAGCCATTTCATTGTCATGCAGTAAGATAGGAATTGGCAATAGTTAGAAAATAGTAGTTATTTTCTATAGTTTCTAAAATAAGTCGATTACTTTATGGAATTAATGGAAACGTTCTCAATAAATTTATGATGAGCAAATTCTAGACCAAGACCAAAACTCCTTTAGTCTTAATCTTGCAGTCTAACAAGGTCTTAATCTTGGTCTTGCAGAGTCCGTCATGGTCACTTTTCTAATAGATTTTTATTAGAGGCATTTTCTACATAGAAAATCTTTAAATAAATAGTATTTCAAGAAATTTAATGGAACTGAAACTTTAAAGAAAGAAACAATATTTGTCTGATGATAAATTTTATTTTTCAATATACAGGGTGAGTCTTAAATAAGTTCCAATATTTTAGGAGTAGAATATTTCGACGCCAGAAACACGATTAAGAGGTTTTAAAAAAAAATTCCAAAAATTTTCGAAAACATTTTTGGATTTTTTTCTTAGTTTTTAGTTAAAAAACATAATTTCTTAATAATATGGCAACATAAAAAAATAGAAAAATCAATATTGGAGCTATCTCTGAGAGACAAAGTACCGAATATTGAAAAATACGGGGGGAAGCAGGCAGAACAAAAGTCATGGATGCCATAGAGAAAAAAACTACTTTGAAATAGAATTGGGCAGGGCACATTGCAAGGCTAAACGATCACCGATGGATGAAGAAAATAATAGAATGGAGACCAAGACCACCAAAACAAGATGCATTCAGGAGCAGAGGCCGTCCTCCAACCAGATGGCATTACAACTTAAGGCGTATCCACAGTAACTGGATGCAAATAGCTCAAGATAGGGAGTTATGGAAGCAAAAGAGGGAGACCTACGTAAAGCAGTGGACTTTAATGGCTGGTTGATGATGATGATGATGGCAACATAGCTAGTAGATTTACCCAGAAAAGATCCAGTGGTTCTCAAAATTTAAGCAAAAAATCATATTTTGGGAAATCTTCTTAAGTAAAATAACTATTTGGACTCAATTAAAAAACGGTAAAGAGAAAATATGTTTCTTTTATCAAGATCTACCAGCCCTAAAAATATTTGTACTTATTTAAGACTCACCCTGTATATTGAATCAGCATTGAGCCCTTTAGAATGTTATGCCAAAACCGGAAAACGCTATTTGCAATAAATTCAAACAATAATTTTGAACAGGTATCTAACATTTATCATACTTTTTATTTGAATTGTTGCAAAAATATGAGCGCCTTAAGCTTGATTTTCATGCATCCGTTATCCGACGATACGTTGATACGATATTAATTTCATTGGTTGTATTTAAAGGCTTCGATTGGTTAACCGTTTCTAACCAATTAAAGTCTTTAAATTCAACCAATAAAATTAATATCGTATCATCGTATCGTCGGATAACGGATGCATGAAAATCAAGCTTTATTCGCCAAAAACATACGGAAATATTCGGTATGTGAAAAATTGCTATAAAAGCTTTTAGAAAATATGGCGGTCTTGTAAGACCACTGCGAAGACCAGTCTCGCTCATCACTAGACAAATAATAGGGTGTTTTGGTTTGGTTTGGTTTGGTCTTTTAGAGTTTTAACGGACAGAACTGTTAAAAAAATGTTTCAAAAAGGTCGTATTTCAAAATTCACTAGGTATAGATTAAAACAATGTGGTATTTTTAAAAGAAGAATATAAATATTAAATTGGGGCTGCAACCTTTAGTCTTACAATAGCGAAATAAAACACTAATTCACTTCTCCTTCTTACAGTGCCATACTGTAGGTAGAGCGTCGACTACCTCTCGCATGTACTTGTGATGTGTGTCATCAGTGTTTCACAAGTACACGGGACCTACAGTTTATCGCTGACTCCGAACGGCACTATTTTAGAGGCTGTACAAGCCTCTCTGCGGCTCGTTGGTCGCTCTATTTAGATAAATAAATATTTTTATTTAAATAAATAAGGCGACCGTACTGGTTAGGGATCGAACCCATGATCGAACCCAGTCGATCGACACACTACCGCTGGAGCTACGGCCTGCCACACTAATTCACTACAATACACAAAAAAAACTTTATTTTAAACACTGGACGCGCGTTTCTCTAACCATGTTACCATCATCAGCAAATGATTAAAAATGTTTTTCAATTAACCATGTTAGTTCAATTAGCCATGTTAGTTCAATTAACCATTGTTCATCAGTATATGAACAATTTTTGCGAAATGCGCGTCCTGTGATTTGGTGTATTGTAGTGAATTAGTGTTTTACTTTGGTGAAGAATATAAAAGGTAAATCTCTCTACAAAAGAAAAATAAATGTATCGAATGTCATGTATGTAAAAACCATGACTTTATAATGTGAAAATAAGTTCATATTTGTTACCAGGGGCGGATACAGGAATTTATTTTAGGGGGGGAGGCAAACAAAATGTAATGTAGAATATGCTTTTTAGAGTGCAATTTTTAACCCAAAAGCCTAATAATTAACCCAATTTATATATTTTAAGGGGGGGGGGGCCTTGGCCACATGGGCCCTCCCTCTGTATCCGCCACTGTTTGTTACATTATTAAGGGCAAAATAAACCTCTAATTCACCACAATATCAAATTTTACAGAATTATTAACAGAACTGTAAACTTTGACAAGACACCAAAACGCTTTACTTTTGCACTGGACGGGCGGTTCGCTAGCCATCTTCGCTAGCCAATCATCACCAGACGATTAATCATAAACTAATTTCTACAAATTGAGGGTTTGTATAGGCGCTCATTTGGCACTGACCAAGCATGGCAAAACTTGCCAAGCAAGTCAAAACCAATTGAGCGTAGCGTAAAAATTAGTTACCGAGACAGTACTAGAGCAAGAGGAACAAAAAAACTGGACTATTATCCCTGTTGTATTTATTAATTTTGATGCTCTCATATGCATCTAATTTCCTGTAATTTGAGACTTATTTAATTAATTTTAAATTATTAATATGTCTACAATGATCTTAATCAACAATATGTTAAGCAACGCAAGATTTATCTGTCTACCATATCTTATCTTATGTTCTTTAAATCTAGTTAATATTGATCTGTTTGAGTTTGCCCAACATATTTCTGATTACAATCTTTACATGTAATTTCATATTTACCCGACCTTTCCAGTGGAGATGTTTATCTTTTTGGCTCGCTTGGCTAGTTTTGCCACGCTTAGTCAGTGCCAACTGAGTGCCTATATAAACGCTAAATTTGTAGGTATTAGTTTAGTTTTAAGTATCTGGCTGATGATGCTAACATGGTTAGCGAAACGCGCGTCTAATGCCAAGTAAAGTGTTTTGGTCTATTGTGATGAATTAATGTTTTATTTTGCTTTTGTAACACCAAACGTTCCAACCCCCAAATGTAATTAATTACTAACTTAAAATCTGAAATACGAAAACGTATATATAAAGCTTACTTATACAGGGTGACAACAAAATCTATTTACAAAGCGCAATTCATTTTATAAAATAAATTGAAACTTTAAAAGTTCAAATTTGGTAAAAATATTATAAGCATAATAATTAAACACATTACATAAAAAAATTCAAATATCTATCTAGAGTCAACATTTATATTTTGTCAATAATGACATGTAGTGAAAATTTACATTCCAAATATCTTGAAAACGGTTAGTACGATTTTTACCAAGAAGCATGAAGCCTTTTTTACGTAAAAAACGGCGAAAATGTATATTTTTCCAGTTAGTAGTTTTATACCGATATAGAGGAAAAGCTGTTACTCTTCAAACCAGTTATAAATATGTGGTTGGTAATGTCAAAAAAAACCACATGCCAATTTTCATCCAAATATCGACATAGTTCAGAAATTATTTGCGAAAAATCGAAATAAAAATTAAACTTCTACACAATATATCTCCGAAATGAAGCCATTTGGGGACATGCATTTATACGATTTTTTTCCCTTATTTTTATATGTTGGCGAAGTCTTCCGAATACAATTCGCACCACCCTGTATAGTAGACAGTTTTCGAAAATATTATCAGTATATAAGCTTACCTGGCTGTATGTTGTCATTTTCTCGCATTCTATAATGACGGACTTTGATAATGGAATGGAATGTGTGCACGTACAAGGTAAGATGTCCCTCCATATCGGACACTGAAACGCCAATGAAACACCGAGCAAAGCAGAGTAAAATACTGACAGAAAATACATCTTCTTAGCCATCTTTAGTTCTTTCTTTTATTCTGAAAATAAATTAAAAAAATCGGTTTGTTTCAATCAAAATCTTTTGAGTTCAGATACAAAGTACGTTGTTGAATGACAGCGCTATAGGTACTATGGGCCTCTAAGACTCTAAGAATGGCATTTCTGTTTTATTTTGCCAGTAAGAGTTAATTCTAGTATACCAAAATGAATTCGAGATTTTTCTGAAATTTTATATCATATATTATTCTCACCAGTTTTTTTGCTAATGGCTTACTTGACTTTTATCTATTACACAAAAGATTTTAACATTCTTTCAAAAAAGTGACCTGAGATAAATGATTTATAATATAAAAATGCGACTTGCTACAAATGTCAGATTTGACATTAATATCTTGGCTTGTCTACAACAAAAAACAAACAAAAAAGCTTATAGATACTGGAACATGGGTTTTTGATTTAAGCTTCATTCAGAACCTCGCAATTGGTGGAATAAATTAGTGGTTTCAATTACACTTTATACTTTTTAGTTTACGATCATGTCTAAAAACACAATTAAAATTAATAGAATATGCTAGGATATTCCAGCCCAATAGCTTGCGGTAGTCAGTTGTATCCACAGAGGAAGCCAAATATTTAGCTTATAAAACAATAAACTTTTGATTTCTAACCACAATGTCTCTTGGCGGATGATATCAGAAGTTTAAATCAAAAACCCATGTTTCAGTATCTATACGCTTTTTTGTTTGTTTTTTGTTGTAGACAAGGCAAGACATTAATGTCAAATCTGACATTTGTAACAAGACACCTTTGCAAGACACATAGGTCTATCAAGTAGTTTCTATAAAGCTTCATTCAGAACCTCCCAATTAGTGGAATAAATCAGTGGTTTCAATTACACTTTATACTTTTTAGTTTACGATCAGTCACAATGTCTAAAAAACACAATTAAAATTAATAAAATATCCTAGCAATAACTTGCTGTAGTCTGTTGTATCCATAGAGAAAGCATAATATTTAGCTTATAAAACAATAAACTTTTGTTTTCTAACCAAAATTTTTCTTGACGGGTGATAATCAAAGGCCAAAATGACATTCCCCGCAAATTTTGAAGTATAATTACTGGAAAAGTCAAAATCCTAGTAGAATCCTTTGTCTAAGATGGTAACATGATGGTAACAGATGTTAAAAAAACATTAAAAGAATGTAACAACCTTATTGATTTTTCTTTAAAGAGAAAATTGCAAGTATCCAATCCCTCATTACCAAAATTGTATGCTTTGCCAAAAATTCATAAACCGGACAAGTCTATGCGCCCAATTGTTTCGGCTGTAGGTTCTCCGACTTGCGTTGGTTATCAAGGGAGTTCGAAAATTTACCTAATCATGAACCTTCTATCTCAGTTAAAAATAATATTGAATTCATTAACAAAATTAAAAATATAACATTGCATGAAGGTTTTTTTTAACTTTTATGATTATGACTATGATTGTCATTACGACTACATAAATGTTGTATAAATCCGGCATAACTTGCGGAAAGACCTAATTATCACTTAAAAAAAATGTATCATTTCTTACTTTCAAGAAATCTCAAATTCAAGAAATCTTGCAAGACTCTTGAAATTTCTTGCATATTAAAGTCTTGTCTTCAAGACAAGAAATTTTAAAAGTCTTGTCTTGAATTTCTTGCAAGAGTCTTGGTCTTGCAAGACTTTTTCAAGACTTTTGTACAACAATACTTGTAGTATAAGACTTGTAGTATAAGACGGTATTACTTGCCAAATTTCAAAGTTCTAAGGCAATGGAAATTCACTATAAATTTTGATTCCCTTCAGAGTGTCGAAATATACGTTTTTTCTGGCATAAACAGCCATATTTTTTTTACGTTGACTTAGAATTTTGATTTTTGTACACATTCAAGGGATAGCTTATAATAGACCTAGTATCTGTGTGGTTTAAATTTTAAGTCGATATATCCACGCGTTCCTTAGATAAACAGTCTTGACAGACAGACGGACGGACGGACAGGCAAAGTGATCCTATAAAGGTTCCGTTTTTTTTTATTTTGAGATACGGAACCCTAAAAATAATTTGTTAAAAGTTCGCCCTTCTACTTATAAACCAATTTTTTTACTTTACGTGATTTCCGACCAATCTTAGCACTACTAAAATATGTCTTTTCAAAAGCAAATAACAATATTTGAAAAATTTATTAACAAGTGTAGAATATAGCTGAACATAATTTAAAAATATATTATTTGAAAAAATATTAGTTTTTTGGAAAAAAGGACTATGATTTTTTTAAAGAACACATGAGAAGAACATTCAACTAACTGTGTTTTAGGAAATATTATGGAAACAGTCAACTTTTAGAGAAAAATATGAAGAAATTTTACTTCAAACTTTACAGAAAAATACGCAGTCGATTAAAAACTTTTTACAAAAAAAAACAAACATGTATTAAAAATATTTTGCATATTTCAGGTATACCTACTTCAAATATTTTCTTTCAGATTGTGAAAACTTGATTGATATTGATAAAAACTGGTTATATACGTACAAATATACCTATTACAATAATGTAATATCAAAAATATGTGGCACTAAGGTCCGGTTGTACAAACATTGCTTAAACTGGAGTTCAAGTAAACTCTGAACGCTGAACCCGGAAATTCTGTTTAGGTATATTTTTCTTGTAGTATAGGATTATTAAAAGCCCAGTTTAATCCTCGAAAAGGGCTAGATCAATTTCAATAGTAAAATACCTAATTTTTGAACTCTATTTTTTTTACCTGAACTCACCCTGAACTGAGTATATACGACCAGGCCTAAACAGTCATCCTCAAACGACTATTTTTTATCTTGTTAAAGCTCAATTGTACAAATATAGCTTAAATTCGAGTTCAAGTGAACTTTAAATTCTATTTAGGTATATTTTTCTTGTAGTCCCGTGTAATCGAAAACAAAACTGCGCCCAATTGGCTTGGAAATGACGATCGATGAAATTAAAATCCTAGTTTAATCCTCGAAACGGGCTGACTCAATTTTAATCGTCAAAAACTTAATTTTGGAACTAAGTTCATCGATAAGAAGTCATTAAATAACCTATTAAAATTTTGAACTTACTTTAAATCTGAACTCAGCCTGAATCGAGAATGTACAGGGTGGGTCAAATTCAATGCTTTTAAATGGAAACATCCTTTTCTATAGGAGATAGACAAAAACTAATATCTGCGTCTGGAGCTCAATTTTTGTCAAAAACATGATGGTGAAAACCGCATATCTATATCTGTTACCGTTTCGGAGTTACGGGGTGTTTTTCAAAAATATGCATTTTTAACAAATCGCTGTAACTTTTTTGCTATGGAAAATTTTGTATTTTTATAAAAACATTTCCAAAGCACCTTTTTACGTAGAATTTAATGGTTTAAGTATAATTTTTTTTTAAATAGATAATTTAAGAATTATCAACAGAAAATTTGATTTTTCATATGGGATACCCTGTATATTTTTAATTTATTGAAAATAATTTAAAATTACCTTTCCAAAAATATAACACACTTGATATTTTGCTCGATTCCTCTTCGAGATATAGAGTATATAAAAATTCGCCCACTTTAAATAAGTAGGCTTTGAACGGCACCGGCTGTAATGCAAAAAAATTCTAGCTGTGAGCATCAATTAAAACGAAAATAATATTTGCTATGAGAGATGCAGAATTTTATAACAATTTAAAATATATTTAACCAACATCAACACATTTAAACTATATCTAACAACAATAAAAATAAATAGCAAACCAAGACATGAGATTTTGCTACAGGTGTTCGACATATCCACCGTCTTCTGTTTATGGACAGACGGGGCAGTTTTTTAACATTTCTCGCGGAATTCATTAACTCTGTGGGGGTGAAAGATACCCTCTTATAACTCCTAAGTATTTCTAATTCTTGTCTAGATTATACAGAAGAATAAGGAACCTTTATAATTCCGCAAATATATTCATAGGATTAGATCCATTGTCCATGGGCACTAAGGCTGGGATCTTGGTTAGCTATTCAATTATTCTTGAAATTGGCTGCAAAAATTTGCTGGTAACTTCAGCGTTCAGAGGCGGTGCGTCGTCTTGCTAGAAAAATATGTTTCCGAGTTCCATTAAGGGCATATCATCAATAAGGGGTCCAAAGCCTACTAGTTAAAATTGGCGAACTTTTAAAAATTCTGTATTTCGAAGGGGATTATAACAAAATATTAAGTGTGCTATATTTTTGGAAAGGTAATTTTTAATTCTTTTCAGTTAATTAAAAATATAGAGGGTGTCCCAAATAAAAAGTCAATTATTCTGTTGATAACTCTTAAATTATTAATTTTAAAAAAATTATACTTAAACCATTAAATTCTACGTAAAAAGGTGCTTTGTAAATGTTTTCATAGAAATACAAAATTTTCCATAGCAAAAAGGTTACAGCGATTTGTTAAAAATGCACATTTTTGAAAAACACCCCGTATCACCGAAACGGTAACAGATATTGATGTGCGGTTTTCAAAATTGAGCTCCAGACACTGATATTAGTTTTCGTCTATCTCCTATAGAAAAAGGTGTTTCCATTTAAAAGCGTCGAATTTGACCCACCCTGTACAACCGGACCTTAATATTAGTTAGCAATTAATAAGTGAAAATGCAATCATATGTTTAATCCAAAATTTTGGTAGTCCAGCGTGCTTTGCTTGATGACATCCTTGTCTATATTAATCAAGGATGACATTAAGAAGAATGATAAAATAATTTAATTCTTTGATATACAGTATGTCCCCGGATAGTCTTTACACGAGGAAAAACTTTCTTATTATTGACTTTTTGAGAAAAATGCATTCTTCATAAAAATGTTTGCTTGTTCTAAAATGATTAATCCCGTTTATACTTTTCCAAATTTCTATACCGTTTTAAAGAAAATTGAAAAAAAACATGAAAACATAGGTGATTTTTCCTAAAAACAAAGTCCTAAGTCAACGTGAGTCAGTAGTGAAGTCCTAAAAAACAAAAGTCTTTTATATGGTAATATAATTTCGATTTCATTCTTTGATAGATGGTTATTATTAATTTTGATTAACGTCAACGATTTTGCTCTTGTTAAAGTATCACATTTTCCGATAACTATTATCACCTTTCCGTAGCATTGAACTAAAAAAAATTGTGCTGCTTGCTTTTTTAACATTTTAAAACTGACTTGGTGAAACTGACTAAATATGAAAATAAAAATAAACGAAAAATACGAATAAATATACGAAATTATATTACCATAGAAACACGTTTTGATCTTAGGACTTGACCAGTATTACACTATCAAAGATCTTTTATAAAAGATCTTTGACAAAGAAATTTCATACTATAATACAGGCAAAAATCAACTATATTTTCATGTTTTTTTTTCAATTTTTCTCTAAAATGGTATAGAAATTTGTAAAAGTATAACAAACAAACAAAAATGTTAATGAAGAATGCATTTTTCTCAAAATGTCAATAATAAGAAAGTTTTCCTCTTGTAAAGGTAATCTGGGGATATACTGTATGTTATATTGTTTAAGACTAGGTTGCACATGAATAAAATTTAATATTAAACTAACCATCTTTTATATCGTTATTCAAATTTTCTTCAAAAATCAAATAAAAATTCAGTATGTTGAGGTTGAGAATACGGTATGGTCGAAAAACGGCGTCCAATTGGCTTTGAAACCACGAGCAATGATATAGGTACCCCATACAATTTTACATACTCAATGACAATGATCTTCATTTCCAACTCATCTCTAACGCCGTTTTTCGTTTGTATGGTATTTAGTTGATAATTTAGAGATACCGACTGCTATTTTTTTATAGAGACAACCAATGATTTTAATTTTGAAAGAAAAATTAAACAGACCTGTTATTTTTAAATAACTGTATCGAGAAAACTCATCAGAGAGAGAAAAATAATAATCAGAGTAAAGGGGAACAAAATCTGAATTATTATAAAAGACAGACTTTTGTATAACAAACCTTGGTGTGATAATCTCGAAAAAATCCAAACACAAAAAAGCAACACTAAAAAGTCACATTAAAAAATCACTTTTTATTAAAAAACACTATTTTTTTCTCAAATTGTCCCCGTAAACAATTCTTTCGAGATATCGGAAATTGCTATGAGAAAAATCGCCCGGCTTTCCGATAACTAGTGTTGACAGTTGATTCCCGTTCGTCCGCTGACAACGTCTGGACCGCAACTGACCGACACCGCGAGTGGCGATCGCGGCGGCTGGCGCGCTCCAGGTCTCCAGCCGCCGCCGCCGCGACTCGACTTTGCCGCCGGCGAGGACATTCTTCGGCGGCGCCGAGGAAGACGCCGAAGAAGACGCCACGGCCGGCGGCGGTAGCGCCATTGGTGCAAGACGCCGCGCGCCAAAGACACGCCTACGCCGTCGTCCGTCGCCGACGGTCCAGGCCGCGTCCAGTCAAACTTTCGTTCTCTTCATTAATTTGTCGTTTTATTTTTCCCCTTGTACAATCCGCACAGATAACAACAAATTGTCTGCAGAAAAAGGCAATTGAAGGGGTGGCTGCAATAACCATGCAGGCAGCTCCATTTTAATAAATTTGTGGGAAATCGAAAAAGAGCTGCTCAGTTTGTGCTGCAAACCCAAAGAAAGGGTCTGCAAATCCAAAGCAGCTCCAACTAACGTCGCCATTTATGTAATATGTACTGTTATATTGAGAGAACTGATTTGGTTGTAACTGCAATTTTTCTACAGGGTAATTCATTAAAAATCCCATTTTCGAAAAAAGTGGAGCTGCCTAGTTATTGCAGCCACCCTTTCAATTTCTCTAGTTCTAGTACCATTCCTGCTGATTGATATGAATGATATGGAAAATGACTTCCTGAATCCAATCCTCCTGACTTCCATTTTCGCCCATTTGTAGATTGTAAGGTAAGGGAGAAGGTAATCTAAGGTAAGGGAGAAGGTGAATAAGTATATAGCACGAATGGTTGTCGTCTCGGCGTACTCAGTGATGAGTTCTGGTGTTTCCCCATTTTCCTCACAGAATCGACATTCGCGGTGTCTCTTAGCTTCAGTCTACTGAGGAGATCATTGTAGAGACAGTGTCTTGTTAAAAAATCCGTGACAATCCGAAGATTGTTCTTACTTAAATCAAAAAAAGTCTTGAGAAATGTCTTCCAGTCTCTTAGACCGTTGCAGGGTTCCAGTCGATATTACAGACAGTAAAAATGTAAAATTTTCTATATAGATTAAGGAAAAACATCGGATATTAGCACTTTATTACCTTATATAGATGTGGATTGACCTATGTTAAGCATAAAAATTTAATAAAACCTCTTTGTAACCGTAAAAATTAAGAAAATATAGGTATTTAAAATATTCCGAGCTAGCAGCCATCAGCCATTGACTTTTTGATTGACAGTTTGATCGACGACCTTCGCATACAATTTGCGACGTTGTCAATATAATGGTTTTATATGATTTTCTTTATCAAGCAATTTTGTTAATTTTACAAAATATTCCAGATAAAAATTAATATTTACTAGCATGTACCCGCGACTTCGTTCGCGTCGAATTAATCATTTGTAATGGTGATGATAAAGCAAAGCAAGAATTTCCATTAACATACAAACTGGATAAAATTTTCTCACATTTATGTCAGCATGAGAAAACAATATGGCGATATTATTATATAACTTGGTAATATTTAAGGGGTAGTTTCATCTCGTTGGAATTTGACTTTCGAAAAATCAGTTTGCCAAAAATAAGCTTTTTACGTCAAGCAGTTTAAGCAGAATCGTGGTTAATCAATTACTCAACTTTTTGGAACACCCTGTATGATCCTCCTAAAATAAATTATGCGTGTCCAAGCGTTTTCCCGAAAGACTAACCGTTTTTTAAATAATAAATATTGTAATATTTGAGGGACGTTTTCACCCTCTTGGAATTTGAGATTCGAGAAACCCCTCCTTATCGATCCGTTTGCCAAAAATTAGCTTTAAACGTGTATATTTTCGTGATTAATCAGTGAGCCACTTAAGGATTTTATATATTAGTATAGATTTGAGGGGCGTTTTTACCCTCTTGGAATTTGAGATTCGAGAAACCCCTCGTTATCGAACCTCTACACCCCACAGTCAATCCGTTTGCCAAAAATCAGCTTTAAACGTCAAGCAGTTTAAGCAGAATCGTGATTACTCAATGGCCATATTTTATGAAACACCCTGTATAAATTTTTAAAAAGTCTTTACATATGTACAACAAAATAAAATATACGTGTTTAAGAGTTTTTCCGAAAAACCCACCGCTTTTTAAATAAAAAATATTCTAATATTTGAGGGGTGGTTTCACCCCCTTAGAATTCGAGTTTCGAAAAATCCCTTCTTATCGAACCTCTACACCCTAAAGTCAATCCATTTTCCAAAAATCAGCTTTTTACGTCAAGCGCTTTAAGCAGGATCGTGATTAATCAATGGCCAGATTTTTCAAAACACCCTGTATACATTTTTAAAAAATCTTAAAATATGTAAAAAAAGAAAATAAAATATACGTGTTTAAGCGTTTTTTCGGAAACTTGACCGGTTTTTAAATAAAAAATATTATAATATTCCACCCCCCTTTTTACCCCCTTAGGGGATGAATTTAAAAAAATCCTTTCTTATCTCACCGTCCAGACTAAACCCTCACACATAAAAGGAAATGAGTTCTAGTGTTGTGATTTTTTCCCATTGTTTCAATTTCTCCATTGTTTCCCCATTATCATCAATGGGCACCTACCCTAGCATCCTTAAGGCAGAAATTTACGCTATCGAAAGATGCGTAAAATTTATCTTAGATAGAAACTATCGAAAATAGGAAATAGCCATCTTCTCTGATAGTCAAGCAGCACTAAACGCTATCAACTCAGTAACCATCAATTCGAAGTTGGTCAAAGAATGCTTAGAGAAACTCAACACATTAGGCGAAGAAAATAATGTCCTCCTACTCTGGGTGCCTGCTCACCAAGGGATAGAAGCCAATGAAAAAGCAAATGATCTAGCTAGAAAAAAGCGAACACTCCACTAACTGGACCAGAACCGTCCTGCTTCCCAAGTGGAAACCAACTTAAAGCAGACTTGAAGAACCTGGAAGACTCCATCCGTAACCTGGAATGGCTGTCCTCCAACGGTCTAACACACTCCTCAGAACTTACGACCGAGAAAAATCAAAGATTCTCTTTGATTTAAGTACAAACAATCTTCGGATTGTCACGGGGTTTCTAACAGGACACTGTCTCCTCAACGAACACCTCAGTAGGTTGAAGCTGAGAAACAACGGCGAATGCAGATACTGTGAGGAAAATGGGGAAACACCAGAACACCTTATCACCGAGTACGCCAAGACGACAACCGTTCATGCCATGAACTTTGGTACGGCTGATGTCGAGGATGGAGAGCTGGCCTCTGTGGAGCCGTCCCAGATACTGGCTTTTATTAAAACCCTGAGACTATATGATGAGTTATAACTCGTAATATCTTAATAAGGGTGAACACACAATAGAGCTGTAAGGTCGCGGTGATTAACTCCCCTCCTAAACATTCTACATTCTCCATTTTCCTCACAGAATCGACATTGGCCGTTTTCTCTTAGCTTCAGTCTACTGAGGTGCTCATTGTAGAGACAGTGTCTTGTTAAAAAAGCCGTGACAATCCGAAGATTGTTCTTACTTAAATGAAGAAAAATTTTTGATAATCTTTGATTTTTCTCGGTCGTAAGTCTTGAGAAATTTCTTCGGGTCTCTCACGGAAGCAGAACGGTTCTGGAGGTTCCAATTACTGGAGTATTCGTATCCTGTCTAGCTAGATCGTTTTCTTTTTCATTACCTTCTGTTCCTTGGTGGGCTGGCACCTAGAGTAGGATTTTTCTCCCATCATGCACCAGTTTCTAAAACATTCCTTCAAGACAGACTAACCTGGTATACAGACTGGTCAAATACCGCTGGCGGAACAGGAACTTGGGGAAAAGACCAAAAGCAATCTTATTCTTTTCCTTGGGCAAATACTCTACCGTATTCCAGACAAAAATCTGTACCATTCTGCAATGCGCTGGAGAAAACAACAGAAGGTATTACTCAGGTAAGCTCGTCAATATATACTCAGACAGTCAAAAGTATTGTGGAGACTCATCTGGGAATGCCTTGATGAACTTGGAACAACTCTGGCAGAAATAATAGAATTAAATTATTCTGACTACCGGGCCATAGCGGCATCCAAGGCAACGAAAATGCTGACTAACTAGAAAGGCGAGGATCGTCGGAATGATTTCATGATCCAGAGACAGTACTGGGAATCCCCAAATATATAACTTGTAGTGCAGTAAAACTCTGAATCAAGGAAAAGGAGACCATCACTGGAGAGACAGACAGAGGCACAGCAAGGCCTTCATACAAGGACCTAAATCTAAAACCACAAAGGAACTGCTAATGCTCATCAGGAATAAATTGCGGAATATAACAGGTGCCTTGACAAAGCATATACAGCGTCAAGTGCTGCCTGAACAAGTTCAATCTGAATCAAGGAAGTCTTTGCTGACTCTTGCTATAAAGATCCTGAAACACCCATGGGCGTAAAAATAACAAAATTAAAAATAATATACCAAACGCCTAGTATTTAGCCCAATTTACAAATTTTATTAAGGCTAAGGCGTTGCCCCACTGGCCCCCCCCTCTCTATCCGCTGCTGGAAACATCAGAGCATATAATAGGCTCGCGAGACATTCTATTTGGAAAAACAAAGCTAGAACCGGAGGAACTATGCTCCCATCCTATCAAAAACCTGCACAAGCTGATGCAAAGCAGAAGGATAGGAGATTAAGAAACTGGGTGCAGACATAGAAAAGGGACAAAACAAAATAAATGAGTAACATTTTTATGCCATATTTATTTATTTTATTGGTTCAAGAAACATGAGCGCTTTAACTAAACAATGGGTACTCGGTAAAAGTGCATTTCTACGTATGTAGCTTATTGATGCCGGTTTGGTTTCAGAAAAACTTTTTTTATTATTTTTCATTTAATAAATTATACAGGGTGAGTTTTCTAGGATGTTCTCTATGGGTATCTGGGAAACTACTGGAAAAGGAGACTCGGTTAAATGAGGAAAGAATTGCAGTTTTGTGGGGTCATAAATATGCGCCTTTCAGATTTTTGAAAAAGTTTATGGCTTACTAGATATTTAAAAAAAAAATTTCGTCTGTTTTAAAAATGGTCTCTAAGTCCATTATAATCTATTTTAGACA